ATGCTCCACGATGTAATCACTGAAGCTGGACCCAGGAGCGTCTAGCCCCTCCATCCTAAGTGAGTCCCACCGAAAGAGTCAATGTAAACGTGGGAGCTGACCCAGGCCTGGGCCTCGCTTTTCCGATGTCTTGGAAGTTTCTACTCAGCTTGGCCCTGGGTGATTAGGGAAAAGGGAGTTAGGTTGAAGGGGGCACTTGGAAATCCTTGAGTTCAACCTCCTCACTCTGCAGGGCGAGAACCAAGGCCCAGAGAGGGGGAGGGGGGTGGTGGTGGCTGGAGGGTGACTCCTGGAACCCAAACTTGTCTGTCTGAATTGGTGTGGGCCTGGCGACTGTCATCACCTCCAAGGCCGCCACGGAACAGGAGGCAGGAAACAGTCTAGTAGCACTTGTTGCCGCCACTTGTATTATGACCCTTTCTTTTTCTCTTTTACACAAGGGGAGATTGAAATCAGAGAGAGGTGAAGCTGTTTCTGCGGGGGCGGGGGAGAGGGGCGGGGGCGGGGGTGTGTGTGGTTTCCAGGCCTTAGGGGGAACAGAGGGTACGCAGGGATTCCCATCATCTCCTCCCCCACCCACCCAGGGCGCCCTGCGCACTCACCTGGGGCCTGGGCGACGACGTGCACCAGGCGGTGCACGGACTCCAACAGCTGCCAATGCTGGCGCTGGAGGAGACTGGAGTTGCTGCTGGCGGCGCGCAGGGTGCGCTCCAGGCCGGCGAGGGCTCCACTCTGGCGACCCAGAAGGCGCTGCAGCTGCTCCTTCTCCCCGCGGAGGCTGGCCAGCTCGGCCTGTTGCTGAATCTCCAAGGCATGCACCCGCGTCTCCAGCGCGCTGTGGGGCAGGGGCGGGGGGCGGGGTGGGTGGGGCACACAGGAGAAGGGATGAGGCTGTGGCACTGCTTGGCGTTCACACCCTACCGCGCCCCCTTGGGTCCCCGAGCATCTCAGCGGTACAGACTGGGATGCGGGGTGGCCCCCTGGCCTTCTCCTGACCCAGTACATGGAAACAACAATATCATCTGTCCAGTTGACAGGCCACTGACTTGTCTAGTGTGCAGGGTTTGTCCTCTCCAGGAGCCTGAGCGCTGCAGTTTTTTTTCTTGCACTCAGCTCAGACCAGAGATGAAATCAGCCTCGGATGCCTTATCTATAATTTTTTTTCTCTTTGTAATTTAAAGGGTGTACCCCTTGGGTGTATTGGCTCTGAGCTACAGGGCACCCTTTCTGATCCTGCAGGCAAGAAACAGGTCACTCACTGCCCTTGCATCTGGGGTGGGAGCGGAGCTGGAGATTGATGAATAAGTCCATCGAATGAAAATGTATAGGGTGCATTGTAGGGCATGGGCATTAGATCTCCATCACAGTGCATAAAACAGTGAGGGAGAAAGAAAGCAATGAAGAAACAGAGACATGTTCTCTCCCCATTCAATGCAGGAGACTCAGCCCTAATGGGCACGGGGCACCCAATCCCAGCCCAGCCTTGGTGCTCACTCTCACTCCCAGCTTCAACCTGGACCCCAACCTTGGTCCTGATCCTTACCCTAGCCCCTGCTTAGTCCTCAACTCCAAAGTCTAGCTCTAGCCCCCATAAAAGGTCTCTTGTCTCAGCCCTAATCCAGACCTCTAGACCCAGCCTCTGTCCCAGAGACCCTCCCAAGTCTAGGCCCTGACCCTGGTCCCCAGCCCCTCACCTGTTGCGGCCCCGCAGCCGGTGGAGTTCGTGGCCCTGCAGCAGCAGCTGCTTCTCCAGCTTGTTGGTGGACAGCGAGGTCTCCAGCAGCTGGACCTGCATGCGGGACGTCTGGTTCAGGACCTGGCCCAGGAAGCAAGGGGGCGAGTCATGGGGGCCACGGCAGGCCTGCAGGAGCTCTGCCCACAGGCCCTGCCATTCCAGAAGGGGAATGACCTTTGCGTCTACCCAACCATTCATCCCTATGGTCATGCGCCATGTACCGACTCGCCGGCACTCACTGAGCTCGCGAAGCGCTCCCTAAACTTGCTCTTCCACACCTTCCTCATCTCCACAAATGGCTGCTCACCACATCCATGCAATCCTTCAGCAAGTCCTACCTTTCTCTCCCTCCACAGCTCCCACCCTGGCCCTGGGGTCCTGTGCCAGCCTCCTCATGGGACGCCCTGATCCTACACTGCCTCACACCCCCTGCAGTCCATTTCCTACTCAGCAGCCTGGGAGCCACCTTCCCAAACAGTCCTCTGCTGCTCAGGATCCTCCCGTGGCTGTCATGCCGGGTAGCGGCAAAGCTCCAGCCCTGGCCTGGCATCTGACTCCTCGCCCACCACTCTCCTTAAGCTGGCGCCAGTTGGGCAGGCCTCCTCCACGTCCCCAGGGCCTCCTGATTCCGTTCCACCCATGGGTTTTTGTATTCCGCTCATCTGCCTGCCCGAAACAGTCTCTCCCCAGGACCTCCAGCTCTCAGCCTCTCCCTGGTGAGGACTTCCAGGCCCGATGCGCAAAATTGGGACGCTGCCCTCCTGCCTCTCCCAGCACTCCTCCACACCCCTCCATCACACTAGCACCATCATGAGACACCCTGGATCATAAGCATGTTCTTTGTGCTCCTTTAAGGAGCTCTGGTGGCAGAGTGGGCTGCTAAGTATAAGTATAAGGCTAAGTATAAGGCTAGCAGTTCTAATCCCCCTGCTCTCCAAGGGAGAGAGAGGGCTGTCTACTCCCGTAAAGACTTACAGTCTCAGAAACCCACAGGGGCGCTTCTACCCTGCCCTACACAGTCATTCTGAGTTGGAACTGACTCATGGCAGTGGGTTTTGTTTTGGGTTTGGTTCTGTAATAGGTGAAGCATTGGGGAACTCAAGGGGCGGTTTTCCTCTGACCCAGAGGGGCGCTGAGTCAGAATCCACTCTATGGCAGTTTCTGGAGTTGCTGTCTCATTAGAAAGGAAGTTCCTTAGAGGCAGGCATTTGTGGCAGGCATTGTTTACTGCTACAAACTTGAACAGCGCCTGGCACGCAGGAAGGGTTCAAGAACAGTGTGCCCACATGCCATGCGTTTGCTCATCCAGTCAGTTTCCCTGTCCCCCCATTTACTCCCCATCTCCCTCTGACTCTTTTCCTGGCGGTCTGCTGTCCAGCAGCCTTGGCCCACTGAAGTCTGGTTGTGTCAGGTGCCCCGAGTCCCTCTTGATTCCAGAAGCCCCCGATGGAGTGGAGCTGTGGACAGGGTTTCCTAGGCTGCAGACTTTGAAGAGCGCCAGGCCTTTCTCTCACAGCCCCACTGCGTGCGTGCGTGCGTTCAAACACCAGCCTTTCTGTCAGCAGCTGATAAAGTGGCAGCTGCCCTACCAGGACTCCTCCACTGATTCCTCCTGCCTTGTTCATGATCCATCTTTCCCAGTGCCCTGGGAGCCCCTGAGGGCAGAGGAGTGGGTGCTCCACTCCCTCCCTCCCAGGGCCCAGCACAGAACCCATTCCCTGAGGAGGTGTTCAGTAGGTACTTTTGCAGCGGGAAGAAGGAAGACCCCATGCCTGGGACCCTGCACTGTGGTCTGTTGAGGCCAGGTGGAGGGAGCAGCGGAGGAGCTAAAAGCAGACGCTGACTTGGCCTGGCGAAGGCCCGGGGGTCTGTTGGATTCCTGGAATGGAAATTGGCTGGCGCTTGCTCTATGCCTGGCACTGTGGTGGATAGAGGTGCCCCAGAGACAGTGGACGCACATCCGGAGTCCACCCTCTGGGGCTGATGGCCAGGGGGCCCTGACCCCTCCAGGCACATCAGACAGAGGCCTGACCACCGCTCCCACTCTGTACCTGGGCCTCTACACTGGTCAGCTTTCGGGTCTGGGCGGTGGTCTGGTTCAAGAGGTTGGTGCCCAGCTCCAACACGGTGGCTGTCTGGTTCTGGACCATGTGCTTCTGGGCCTGCGCCAACTCCGACCTCAAGTTCCTCTGGATGTACCTCTCGAGCTGTGGGGAGACCATGGGCTGGCATCATGGACTGGTCCGTGGACAGGACGGGCCCTTCCCTGTGTCTCCAAAGACACAGAGCGACCAGGAGGGCCCTTCCCTACCTCAGAACTTGTCAGGCCGGGCCACCATTACTTGTCACCTGGACTATTCCAGTAATTTCTTCTTGTGCTTCTCTGCGCCACCCCCACCCCCCGCCCCCCGGTCCCCCAGTTCATCCTCCACTTGGCAGCCAGGGGAATCCTCTCAGCCTGGGTCATGCTGCAGCCTGCCTTTGTTCAACCCTTTCCTGGGTTCCCACCTCACTCAGGAGGAAAAGCCGCCGCCCCCACCATGGCTTCAGGCCCCCCCAAGGCCTGGTCTGGCTACCACTGACTTCATCCCACCCCCTGTGCTCAGACACACTCATTCCTCTAGGGCATCCTGCCAACACAAGCCAGCACGCACCCACCGACCTCAGGACCTTTGCACACGCGGTTTCCTTTCCCTGGGATACTTGTTTCCTAGGTATCCGCAGGGTTTGCTCCTTCACACTATTCCAGCTCTCTTCCTACCAACACCCCGCATCCCGACTTTCCACTGTGGAGCCCTCTGTGCATTATCGACCTCACCCTCCAGAATGCTGATTCCATGAAGCCAGAGATTATGCCAGGCTCACCAAAGCTTTCCCTCTGTCCAGTGCCACGCTTGGCGTCCAATATACAAAACCAACACAAACCCACCGCCAGTAGCACTATGGGATGAGCACGGGGCTGCAGACCACAAACAAGGTCAGGGGTTCAAATCCACCAGCTGCTCCAAGGGAGAAAGATGAGGCAGTCTACTCCCATAAAGAGTTGCAGCCTTGGAAACCCACAGGGCAGTTCTGCCCCGTCCTGTAGGGGCAGTCCGAGTGAGAATGGACTCAGTAGATGGGCGGTTTGGTTTTTGGCCCACGCCCCTAGGGCTGAGCCAGCCAGCAGGGGGTGGGGGCACATCTCTTTCCCCCTTGTGAGTTCGCAGGTTCATCCCCCAGAGCTGCACTTTCTATTTCTGGCGCAAGTCCCTTCCCCTCTTCTCCATCTGCTGAATGGGGTGGGGTCCACCAACCCCCAGGGCCCTCCCAGCTCTGGTGTTCTCTCCTACGAACAGACGTGGGTCAGGCGAAAAGCCAAGATCCAGGTGCGAGACTGGAACAGTGCATTCCCAAGGCTTACAGCCGTGAGCTGGACTGCCTCCTCCGCTCTGTGTATGTGCTGGCCATCACCGCCGCCAGACACCTCCACCCCCCACCCACCCCACCCCGGGCTCCTTCCCTCGCCTCTGCCCTGACTCCAGGGAGACCAGGATCTCAGACGGGACAAATCCCGGGGCTTCTGGAAGACCACTAGTGCTTCCCAAGGAGAGGTGGTGACCTGGGGGGAGCAGGCTCTGGGTGGTAGGTTCCAAGTGTGGAGCCCGGCGGGCCTTGTCCACTTTCTCCTGGTTGACAACAGTCAGATCCAGAGAAGGGAACTGAATGGACCAATCACTGCCATCAAATGGATCCTGACCCATGTCCACCCCATAGAGGGTTTCCCAGCCATAAATCTTCATGGGAGCGGACAGCCACCTCCTTCTCCCTCAGGCTGGATACTGGCCTTGAACCACTGGCCTTTTGATCAGCAGCTCAATGCCTAACCCACAGCTTCACCAGGGCTCCTTATGGATTAGAGCCGAAGTTCTTGTGCGCGGGGACTCGTGAGACGTGTACCTTTCCAGGTTCCACCCCAGATCCCCGAGCCAGAGGCTGGGGTGGCCCCCAGCAGTCTGTTTGAACAAGCCCCTCCGGAGATTGGGGCGCAGCTCAGATATGAGAAGCTGGCACCCAGATGGCAGTGGAGACGGGACCAGAGACAAGCAGGTCAGAGTCTCTGGGGGACTTTGTCACTCCCTCCATCCCCCACCCTATAGGGTTACCTCTGAGTCAGAGTCAAGTCAATGGTTGTGGACCCCACACACACAAGGTCCGAGAGGGTCTTTGGTAGGGTGGGGAGAAAGACAGGCTTTCTAGTCTCAGAGAACCCACAGGGGAAGTTCTGCTTTGTTATATAGGTTGGCTTTGGCTTGATGGCAGTGAGTTTGGGTTTGGGGGAGGGCAGTAGTTCCCAGCTCTGGCTCCTCCCTGGGTGATCTCTATATCATTACCCACCCCTCTTTCCCTTTCTGCTTCATCGGGGGTAGGCCTTCCTCCACCAGAGGATCCTTGGTGGATGCAGCAGTGAAACACTAGACTGTTAGCTCGAGGGTTGGCGGTTCAAACCTAGCAGTCGCTCTGGGAGAGCGAGATGTGGCAGTCTGCTTCCATGGAGATGTGTCCCCTGGGAGACTCCACAGTCTGCAGGGCCACAGCGGTTGAAGCTGACTCAATGGCAGTGGGTTTTGGTTTTCCTGTGCCAGCCTCCAAGGAGGTGTTAACGTGTGACTCGCGGGGACTCACCGGGGCAGATCAGGGTACACAGAGCTGTACCGAGGCCAGTCTTAGACTTCTCTGTGGGTCACCAACCTCCTGGGACCTGGTGTAAAGCTCATACTTCCAGGTCTTTCAAATAGCAAGTTCCCTCCTGAGACGGGGCCACCCCAGCTATCTCCACGGAGACACTCAGCTGCAGGTAGACAGATAATTGAGACTTTCCCAAGGTCACCCCCACCAGGCAGGGGCTTCCCCAGGTCTGCTGAACTGAGCTGGGAACTCAGGGTGACCTAAAGTCATCTTGACTGGCTGACATCCATACGCAGCTTCCCCGCCCCCTACGTGTCCTGTGGCTGCAAGTGGCTGGGTGGGGCAGAGGCCACCCACAGCTGGGGCCCATCACCCAATTCACCACACCCGCCCACCAGCCTGGGTCTGGGGGAGTATAATCTGGGCCAGATGGGCCGGTTCAGCTGGGCTGGGGTTCTGGTGACCAATGTCAGCCTGTGTGTTGGTGGGGCTGGGGCTGGCGGAGGTCACAGGCACCAGTTGGAAGGGTGGGGAGGAAGCCCAGCAGATAAAGCCACCCCAGGATGGTCTGTGGGTCTTCAGCCCCGCCCCCCACCCATTGCCCTGACACTGGCAGATTCTTAGAGTGGAGGTGATGGTGAACAGGGCCTGGCCACTTGCCACCCTGTCCTCAGACTCAAACAAGGCTGAGCTGTGGCCCTGGGATTACTGCCCCGCATCCCTTCCATCCTGATTTTGAGTTCTGGCTCTGCCCCACTGTAGCTATGGGACCTGGGGGAGTTCCTCCTATTTTTCTGAGCCTCTCTTTACAACTCTATGACTTGGGGATGCTAGACCCTGCTCTTTGTTGAGGAGGAAGAACCCTAGTGGTGAAGTTGCTGCCTGTTGGGCTGCTAATGGCAAGGTCCGTAGTTCGAAACCACCAGCTGCTCCACAGGAGAAAGATGAGACTGTGTTGCCGTCAAGCATGACAGTCCCGGAAGCTCACCGGGGCAGTTCTGCCCTGTCCTACAAGGTCTGCTATGAGTTGGCATCCACCCGGGGGCAGTGAGTTGTTGTTGTTATTGTGGAGAGGATATTTGAAGAGGGCCGAGAAGGAGAGCAGAGAAACCTTAGCCAGCAGAGGCTGGGGGAAGACGGATGCTGGGGGTCCAGACCCCAGCTAAGGGTCTGTGGGTGGGTTGCTGCTCTCAGGGACCACAGGTGGTCTCAATGCACACTTACAAGACCCACGAAACAAAACCAACTTAGTAAACGGCCGTGGGACCCACGCACCCTGTGGAGTCCCTTCGGCAATGAAAAGCAACTTCTGTCGCGTGCAGCGGTGCGATGGGTCGCGCATACATGATGCCGAGTGGAAGAAGTCAGGCACAGAAGCGCATACGGTACAACTCCGTTTAGATGACCCTCTGGAAATGATAAAAACATAGGCGCAGAAATCAGGTCCAGGGGTGCCAGGGGCGGAGAGTAGGGGCGGGGCTGGCGGCGTGAGGACTGCTCAGCGGATGGAATGTGCTAGCTCTGTTCTGTCGGGGTGGGGCGCCGCTGCGGTTTGCCCAGACGCCTAGAACCGGTCCTGAAAGGTATGGATCGCACTGTGTGTGAACCGCACCTTAGCAAGAAAGCCACACGCCGGTTCCAGACAACGTCTCCGCACATCGCATCTGTCAGACCAAAGCGTTTCTTCAGCCCAACCCCCTCCCCCTGTGAGCTGCGTTCCAGAAGGATTTCGGGAGCTGTCCACAGCAGGCCAGACTCGGGAATGGTTAAGTGTTGCGGAGCCAGTTCCAACTCCCAGCGACTGTGGACAAGGGGAGGAGACGTGGCCCGGCCCTGCGCCACACTCACACGTGTCCTTCTGTCTGAGCTCATGGTCGCGGCCACTGCCAAGCTGTCCTGTCCAGGGTCCTCCCCCACTGCCCTGCTTTACAAAGCACGATGCCCTCCAGGGCCTGGGGGCTTAGGAGGGACTAACACCACCATGGGTTCTGATTCCGCAGCACCTGGCGAAGGAAATCAGTTCGTTTCCAATGAGTGATGATGTTCAGGAGAAAACGAGGCACGTCATGAGCCGGCGAGGAGGCAAGTTAAGCCAGTCTCACCAGCTGTGAGGAACCGAGGGGGAGGCTGGACAGCCACAGGGATTCCAGCTAGAGGGAATGGCATGAGCAAAGGCCCTGAGGTGGGAGGTGTCAGGTGTCTGGTCGGCTGGAAAAGGAGATCGAGGAGATCGATAACAATGATATGGCCTGTGCTGAAAAAACAAAAAGTGCGAGTGGTTTTTGTTTGGAAACGGCGTTTTGTCAATAGCAGACAAAAACCAGCACAGAAAGCAGACTGCCTTGGAGCGGATGGGTCTGGGTTCGGATCCATTCCAGCTTTCAATTTACTGGCTGTGTGACGCTGGGCAGGTGTCTCCCTGTCGGGCCACCTCTCTAAAACGGGAATTCTGGGGCGGATTCTGGAGACGATCCTCACTAAGAGCCTGGTTAAGGTCCTAACACACGTAGCCGTCTAGATTCCAACCTGCTCATGTCTG